GATAGAACCCTGAAACAACCTCTGGGCTGATCTAAGTCAGGGCATGGCTAACTCACAGATAGAACCCTGAAACAACCTCTGGGCTGACCTAAGTCTGGGCAAGGCTAAGTAAGAGTTAATTACCTCGAACGGAGGCAATAAGCCATATACATCCCGAGGGCCGCAGGCCCTCGGGATTCATAGGCTTATTGCCGACGTTCGAGGTAATTAAGTATTTTATTTATAAATTGAGAAGGATTTCTATCAAATGTTGCTCATTATAAATGCGAACGGTCTATATATAGTTATTAACCGGGTTAATAACTATATATTGACCTCGCATTTATAATGAGGGTTATAACAAAAATAAAGCCTTGTGAATAACAAAGAAAACCGTGTCATTTGATAAATAACTCACAGATAGAACCCTGAAACAACCTCTGGGCTGATCTAAGTCAGGGCAAGGCTAACTCACAGATTGAATCCTGAAACAACCTCTTGGCTGATCTAAGTCAGGGCAAGGGCTAACTCACAGATAGAACCCTGAAACAACCTCTGGGCTGATCTAAGTCAGGGCACGGCTAACTTACAAATTGAATCCTGAAACAACCTCTGGGCTGACCAATCCAAAGTTTGTTCAAAAAAAGTGATGTTGCTTTGGTATGGGCATAGATGCAACTTTTGTTACTTACATTTGCATAAGAAGCATTGATGTAATTGGCTCCTTCCTCATCAGTGTAAACCTGTACGAATACCCTTGCTTTATCCACTGCATAAGGCATAATTTGAAAACAAAATGTCTTAACGAGTCAAGTATTTTAGAAAACGCTCTTGGTATTCGATGCAAAAGACAGGGTTTACTTACATGGCAAGATGTTTGAAAACCTGTTTTTCCTGTTATTACAAGGTTTGTTTCCATCTGTCATTTCATCGTCTTGGACAAGAGGGCACACATGCGAAAGGTGCTGCAAATGGAATTAATACATTCCTCCCATACATTAAATTATTATGGGTGGTATGGGAGGCATACGCTGGGTTCAACTCTGGGTTCAATTCCCGAGTGAGCCTCATAAGTAATAAGTTTAATTTAAATCAAATAGATGTTTGTAAGTTGTACACGGTCATCTTCAGGGTAACATAAAGAAGCTCGTAACAACCGTATAATATAAGAATAACTTTGCCTCAAGACAATGAGCGTGTCATCATGTCTATCAGATCCTGCAAAAAGCGATATTATGGTAGACTTTAAGCGAGAATAATAACTTCTGTTGGAAATCAAGTTGAAATCAAGCTGCTAAATTTATTGCAATAACAATAGAAACCTTTTTTTTTTTACTCACATAAACTCATCCTGAAGCATTGAATGCGAGGCTACATGTGGCTATAGAATCTATTGTTTCTAGATTTGGCAATATATATATATGCAGAATATGCAGCTGCTAGAGTCTACCCGCGTTTGCAAAGTAGTAATAACAATAGTAACAGAATAAAAACCTTGAATTCCATCTCGTATCCAGAAAGGTTTTCCTTTTCGTCAGTTTTGACAAGTTTTTCCATTTCTTCTCTCAGTTGCAATGCTTCTATTTCTGTGATTCCGCATGTTAGAAACTCGTGAATTGCAGTGTGTACAAAAATGTACTGTTCCTGTTAAATTTGAAAAGATTTCAATATATTTACTTTATTAATTGATGTAACGTTAACTATCCTAATATTTTTTACCAGCAACTTGTTTAGACATTCTATATGACCTATAGTCTATGAAGCTGTCCTTTAAGAGAATTGATTTTTTCCTTCTTTCCATCCTTCCCTCCTTCCTTCCTTCCTTTTTTCCTTCTTTCCTCATTTGCATATTCCCTAAGGATTTCAAGCGTCCTCTATTCTTACCGTTGTTTGCACCATATATGGTCTATTTTCTCTCATCGTTTTAACGTAGTTGAAAATATCCAAGGTTTTCTTTTCTTCTGCTTGTCTTAACATGGCGTCCACAGCAAGAAAAGTTCCAGTTCGTCCGACTCCGGCACTGAAAAAAAACAACAAAATGCTTATATAAAAGTACTTTCAAATAAAAACGATGCAGCCATGCCTTAGCCCAGGCTAGAGGTTGTTGGTTGTTTTTAGCGGTCAAACTTTGAGTTAGCCATGCCCTGAATTATGGCAGCCCAAAGGTCGTTCAGTTTAGGGTTCCAACAGTGAGTTAGCCGTGCCCTGACTTAGATCAGCCCAGAGCTGAGTTGTTTCAGGGTTTGATCTGTGAGTTAGCCGAGTCCAGACCTATAGATCAGCCCAGAGGTTGTTTCAGGGCTCGATATTTTTAAGGTCGAAAATATGGTTGATGTTATACTCGCTATCCTTTTCTTACTGCTCTAAGGGCAACAGCCATTACACTATACCTGCAGTGAACAACCCAAGGAGACACCATGGCTGTGTCTGACACGAGACGCCTTCTGAAGGCTAATAATTGTGTTGCATAATGAGGGACATCCTTATCAGGCCATGCAGTGAAATGATATTGGAAAACACAACGCTGCTCAGTTGATCTGGTCTGTGGAAAACAAAGTTTCATAATTAGTTATTTTTTTCGATCAAATATTGCATTTATACCTATTTAAAAAAAAAGGTTGTAGGTTGTCATGGCCATGAATAGGCGATAGCAAAAATCAATAACAGATAGGTCATTCCAAGATGCAAGAATAGATGGATGGACCTTTATGTCGAGACTGATTCATTGTTATGTGTATTCAACCAAACCATTTCCTTTTCGGATGACCTATCGCCTTAGCGGTGACAACTTTTTTTTTGGAAATCGGTGTATACAAAAGTTTAAGAGAATCGATCATGATGAATCACGGCAATGAACTTGAAGTTAGCTTGTTTCAGACCATTTAATCTAGGCTCCAGAGGTACTTTCTATTTCTTTTTTGGGGCTTATGGCAAATTATGGCAAACTTTGAATCGAGAATCAATAATCTACAATCTGTGTTCGATTTCCTTGAGGACGATTTATTTGTAAGTAAGACTATAGTTTAAACTCAAAGAAACTTATAAAAGTAAGTCGTAGGTGTCAAGTTTGACGTTCCTTTTGTAGGAAAAACGTACCTTTGTCAAGTAGAAAGAACGAATCGAGTAATCAGCAAATATTTCAGTCTTTTGCAGTTGAACAGATATGTCGAAGTATTTTTCACAATCTTCTGGCCAATATTTCTTACATTTGGTCTATTAAAAAAATGACAAAATAAACTGTACATCATATTTAATTTTTAATTTCTATTTTTTTGTAATTGCACATAATTACCATTATTCGTTAAAATTTAATATTTCAAAATTGATCTTACTCTGAGATTAAAATCCAAACATTTCTTTTCGCCCCTAGTGTTTTCAGTGTTTTTATATGTCAATTTTGAAATCACAATCTGATGAATTGGAGAATCGAAATTACATGGTTCATTGAAAACTCTGCAGCATAAATATTACCTTACTTCCTTCTATTAGATCTGTTAACATGACGATCACTGATGTCTTTTCTTGCCAAATCATGCGCCAAAAATCTACCACACTCCGTTCAACAGGACCTGAAATACATTAATTTCATTCTAAAACGAATATAGCTTCTATAGGTTGGTCTTTGTACTGCTAATCTTTTACACATTTGAATTGAATATAGCGTGTTAGGAATTTGCGGAGATAGGACGACAGACTGGAAAAGTGGAAAAACCCAGAGAGGACCCAGAGGCCCCACTTTCCAATTAATGGAGAGACCCAGAAGACTTTACTCGCATGTGATATGGAGTCCAAAAGAATACAATCCGAGACCCCGATTAGCTGGTACACTAATGGTATACTACCCTTCATTTACTAAAAACCAAAAATTTGACCCAACATTTAGCCAACCAGTTTACGAACATTTGTCCGAACAAGTTAATGTTGGGACCATTTTTCATGGTTAGAAAACAATGTTCGGTTGTCATCTTTCATGTTCCATGAATGTTGGGCTCGGTTTGTCGTACCAGTTTTCCACGAAACTATTATGTACCATTTAACGTTCTGCCAGTAAAAATTGGCCAATTGTCGCTTCATTCAAATGGTGCGGCGTTTTGTCAGGACTTTTAGCCATCATTTTGACCTTACATTGTTGGCATACCACCATGACATACGGTCAAAGCACTTGGCCCATACTAGCTTCAGGTTGAAGCTATGATAATGAACTGAAAATTACCATTGATTGCTTACCTTGAGAAGCAATGTAAGAAATATGTCTTCCTTCATATCCCTGCAAACAAAGGCCCATTAAACGATAGCCCCCTTCACAGTTCCCGTTGCCATCTTGAAAAGTAGCCGTGCCTTTGCATCGAAGCGAGACGAACGGTGAGCTTGTAATGATATAGAGTCCTTTTTTAACACCTTGGACAATTATTCCCATGTCTCCATCACTGCAAGCTCACCGTTCGTCTTGCTTCAATGCAAAGGAGCGGCTACCTTTAAAAATGGCGAACAGAACTGTGACTAAAAGGACTATTCAGACAATATCATTTTTCCTTAGCATCCACAATTGCAATGCAACAGCTAAATAGAACTAAACAAAAGAGATGGGATTACCCGGATGTAGCTGGCATTAATGTAATCCGAGTCTTCATCTTCTTCAACTTTCTCCAGAACGACTCGAGAGTGGTCGTCTGATGATTGATATAAGAAACAATACTCATAAAAATGATATAATGCAAATAACAGCTTATTGGAGAACTTTGGAGAAGCAAGAGAAACACTGTGCAAAAGAGTTCAGGAGTTTAGTCGCTTTTAGACTTTACTCACAAGGTACAATGTTGCCATATCGATTTTTAGTTTTGTTAGCTGCTTTCCTAGCAACGAGCGATGGAAACTGCAGACCATTTCCCATGTTCTAAAGTAAAAGAGAAGTTTCAGGAGCAGGTTTTAAATCAATGTAGCAAAACGTCCCAGAAAACTTCAAATATGCAAGCCATATTTCAATGAGAATTAGGCCTATTCTGATAAATAAAGTTGGGTGTGCTGCCATGCGTTTGAGTTTGGACCTCGAACATTTGCCTATTACGTTTAAAAACTTGTGTTTCTATGGGGCGTTTGAGACGATAAAAATGATGAACTTTCAAAATAGGGCAAAATTAACCAAACAACGATAAGCTAGATTACATCAATCCATGTAATCGAGCCTATCACGGTTGATTGGACTGCGAGCTAAGTCCCTCTATTTCCCTTGGTCACTGTCCGTCTGTCTGTCCGTGTCGATTGGTCGAGGAAGATTGGTTACGACCAATCGACACGGACAGACAGACGGACAGTGACCAAGGGAAATAGAGGGACTTAGCTCGCATTCTAACGGTTGATTGGCTAGATTTGCTCTGTTTTGACCCGACACCGTCTCAAACGCACCACAGATACGCGATATTATTCCGTTAGAAACGCAACTTTTTCAAACTCGAACGAAATCGGAAAATGCGTTCGTGGTCCAAAAAAAAAACTCGAACGCAAGTACTTTCCATTTTAGACATCGTGTTAATTCCTTAAAAAATGATTATTCTATAAAGCTTCATATTTTTTATTCGTATATTTTTGAGTCTTACTGGAAAAAGAGGAAAAGCATGACATGCAAGAGAAGGACATATTAATTTAATGAGAAAAGAGTCGGTTATACACCCTGTTGATGAAATAGTTATTTTATTCTATTGTACCTGAAATTCTTTCGTCAGTATCTGGTTTTTCTCCTTTGGAACTTTCCGCATGCACTGTATGAACTGGTTGACAGTGAAAGAGCGATTTGTTAACGTTGCTTCGTGACTCAACGAGTTGCCATATTTAACACCAGATGATGTGGCATCTTCAATCTCCTCTTTGTTATTTTCACTTTGCTCATCTAAAGAAAAAATAAAGCTCTTCTAACGATAAACAATGTATAATTGGAATGTCTGGAAAGCAGCTTTTAGCTAAGCACTTTTGACGTCGTTATTAATAACGATAATGAAATTAACAGAGGTTCGACAGAGTGGTAGTCTCCTCTGAAGCTATCATTAGCTTCTGTCCCAGATCCACCACTTACAACGACTGCAGAGGAAATTCTTTATGGGGCTAGAGTTGCCATTACATCGGCGTTCGTTAAATAAAGCCTTGTATTAAAGCCCATGGACCCGATTCATTGCGTGGAAGTTTTTGTTCCAGTTCAAATGTCGTGTCATTGTCAGTGAAAATAGGAATATTTGTTTCATGTGTCTTCTCCCCTGATGAGTATTCATTAAATAAAGAAATGATACTGTAGGGAATGACATGTGGTTGGAAATAGTAAGAGTGGATTAGATTCATTCTGTAAATTGCATAGTTGTTGTCTTGCCCTTTTTTCACTGTAGTCCAGATTCGATCCTTGTACTCACAATCAAATCATAGCTCAGTTTCTTATTCATCACTATTTCAATTATCTCCTTTTTCTTTCTGTTTTTCCCACTCCACAAAATCATAATCAAGTTCCGAGGATCACAGGTTTGCAGTGGAGGCCTGGGTCTACATGGAAGCGTTACGTGGGCCATGTCGTTGCGTGATGACACTGAAAGCGGCTGTAGGGGAGACTAATGTCACCCCCTTTCAAGGTTATAAATCCACCACTAGTTTATCCACAGCTGCTGCGTATTCGATTACGTTCTACTTTTGTAAAACCAGATCGACAAGTTTATTTTAACTTGTTTATGTATTTTGAACGGATTTTTTTTTTACCCTTTCCAAAATTTCGTCTGACAAACTTAAAGCGGTCTGTCTATAGTCAAAAATTCAAAGGAGTATTATATGATCTAAAATTATACATGGAAATTGATATCTATAAGAGTAAATAAATTAGTACACCAACCAACTGATTTCTTTAAACTGTCGTTTATATACTGTAAGAAATATTGGACTTCAAACCTTTTTCTTCGTTATCCTCAATCATCGATACTTGAGCGTTGAGTTGCGAAGCACGGGCTGCATAATGCACTCGCTTCACCTTTGGATTTTTATGCCTGAAAATGTTAAGTAAATAGTCTTCCGCTAGACTTCTTTTTACCTTGAAATTGGAATCATCAACTCCAAGTATTACTTCATAGAGAATCGAATAGAAATAATTCTTCACGGTGCGATGATTTCCCATCAGTTCGGATCACATGCCATTCTCTTGAGAATAAGATTTGTATAAATTGTATCCATATTCATGTGTCTTCTTATGTGCACTATTATAAATAAAGAAATGATACTCTAGGGAATAACATGTGTTCGTCCGAAATGGGAAAATATCACATCAAGACAAATTTGTCTAACCCAAAGAATTTCACTCAATGCCACGATTCGAGCGATATAAAGTTTTGAGTAAAATTCTATTAGGTGGAATTTCCTTGGTCAGCCACTAAATTTGCCTATTACAATCCATTTGCAGTAGTCTCCCTCGCAGCCGTGTTTAGTCTCGCTCCATTCCCCTGTGCGAGAATAACAACAGCTACGAGGGAGACTGCAATAATCGCAGTGCACTGCAAATATTTAAAAAAATAGGTATGAAATTTTAAATAAAGTATGATTTTATCAAAATGACTAACCTTTTTATCAAAACTATGATGACTATCGATGTTACTATTATTATGACAGCTGCGACTACGCTAGCAGCAACGGTAATGATCAACAGAAATGACACTGGTCCATCCTTTAAGTCAGTACCCGTCCCTTCAAAACAAGAAATAAGAAACCTATGAAAGAAAAATCTCAAAAGCTGCAAATTGTAGATATTGTATCACTAGAAAACATTTAGAAAAGATTGTGCCATGCCATGACCGTAACGTTTTGAAAGAATCAGGAGCAAAAAAACCGAGTTTTGCGAATCCACTTCAAGTTAAGCTAGGATATACGACAATGCATGCATGCATGTATATGATTATATAAATTGCTAATATGCAGGCATTTGCAATTAGGCAGCATTTATATAAAACGTACATTCTAGCTTGATATGACAATCTCAACGATATAGCCAAGGACTAATTAATGGACTGTGCACTGCCTCGCTTGTCACAGACAAAGGTTTCGATGCGAGGCGTCGCGCATAATGCCGCAGTGATTCATGAAAGAAAGAAATAATAATAACACGTAGATTTGTTTGTGATAATTAAGAAGATAGCATTATAGCATGCTATGAATGGTTTGAAACGTTCAGCTAATGACGTGCATCGATTCCGTGCCTTGGCCTTGTCAGGCTTTTTTTCTTTCTTGTTTTAATAAAATAAGCACCGATAAAAATCATTAAACAATGTCCTTTACCTCTATGGCCTCTTATAGTTATTGGTATGCTAAATGGGCCTGGACCAGCCACTGTGTACCCTCGAATACTGACGCTATACGTCACATGATACGTCAGGTTGTCCAACACGTGGGGAGATTTGGTAGCATTATTTGCTTGCGAAGATGTTAACGGAGATCGCTTGCGTCGCAACTTCACAGGCTTCCATTTGACCTCGTAGGCCACTATTTTTCCATTAGCATCATCTTGAGGTATTTCATTCCAAAATATATTAAACTTGCCACTTGCAATCTCTGTAGCTGTTACGTTTTCTGGGGCAGCCGATGGTTCTGTAGAATCGATTTTTTTTTTAACTTTCAATTTCCATCGAGCATCAGAAAAAACGTTTTGCCTCATGAACATTGTTATTTTTTATCTTGACCTATTCATGCCAAGAGAATTTGAAATGATCCACAGTAACAATTTTAGTTTTATAACATGCATTTAATATTTGGGTTTTATTTAATTGAAGTACTACATGGTACACAAACATCATTTATTGGAATAAAACAGCATACATATAATTATGAAGATACGTCATTACACCAACCTGCTTGTAGTGTTGTAAACGTCACTGTCTTGCTCCATTCACTTTTCCCAATCTGACTTGAAACCATTACCCTTACTGTATAGTTAGTATAGGGTTTCAAGTCTGTTAGGTGATAAGTACTTAGATTTGTTAGGTATCTCTTGTGCCAATCGAGGTCAATTGAATACTTTGTGATGTTCCCTTGGTCTGCGGTTATATTAGGTATTATCATTACAAGGGCTGAGCGTGAAGATGGTTTTATTTGGACGATAGGTGGATCGAGAACACCTGCATCAAGAAAACAACAAATAACCATACGAACTGCAAATTATTTAACAATTATTCGCCGAAGGCGAAGTGATTATCGGGGAATATTTACCGAGACGCGCAACGCAACAAAGCGGCTGGCCGCCATTTTGGATTTTCGCTTGAGGTGATTCGTGTGATTATGTGAGTTTCTTGACCAATCAACGCGCGAGATTTTCGATAATCACCTGCGTATTTTTACTTAGTATTGATATTTTTTGAAATTATTGCACTCTCAGGATTCTATTTAATAGGAACTATATACAGTACTTTACAATCACACCTGAAATATCGTACAATTTTCCGTTACGATGGAATAGCGTATTGGTGGTCTTTGAACGAAGTGTTTCTATGACTGCTATGACATTTGTAGGTAAACACAAAGTTTTCAACGGCAAGTGCCTATATACCATGGAATGTCGTGGATACGCGGAGCACGGAAGTGTTGAGTGTTCTAAATAATGAATATAGAATATAGACCTATGAATATAGTAGTAGTGCGTGTGGAGCGGACCTCTCGGAAAAGAGAGAGAGTTGTAAAATATAAGGCTTTATGAAATAACTGTTCTAAATCTCGGGTACTGATTGGTTGGGAGCGTAATAAGACATTAACATACCTAATACAACTGTTGTGACACTTCGACGTGCTTGTAGCTTTCTGTACGAGCCATAATCAACTTGACATATATATTCCAGGCTGCTACAAATCTTATTTCGGTCAAAAGCTTTTCCACAAAAGTAGTTTTCAAGAATATCATCAGCTGACGTGTAGTTTACACGTAGTGTGGATATGAGTATTGATCCTGTCCTTACTGTACCGATGGAGTAACTTGTAATGTCTGTATCGTTATGATACCATTTGATATTCAGTCCTCCATCAGCTCTACACACCAAGTCTATATGTGTTTCAAATCTTGGATCAAGCTCTCTGTCGTAGGTAAGACTAGGCGTTTGTGGACCTATGTATGTAAAAAGACATATATTGAAATTTTCCCTGGGGGGGAGGGATAATCTTGAACCCTGACCCTGTTCCAGAGCAAGGTCGCTGAAAACCATAACCTTTTCCGGCATAGAGGAGAGAGCGTGATTTCATATACCCTGTTCCAGAGCGAGCGCGATTTTATATACCCTGTTTCAGAGTAGAATCACTGAAAACCATACCCTGTTTGGCGGCACGTACCCGTATAGCAAATATAGGGGAGTACCCCCCTCCCCCCGGGGAAATTTCCCGATATAAAATGCCATATAATAATCTGACAGTCTAGAGTTCCACTGTTCCAGCAGTTTCATTATCGTTAAAAATTGTCAAGCAATCCAAATCGTATAAAATCTTTACATGTAAGTTATTCATAAAACATTGAATAATTAAACTGTAATTGAACTGTCTATTTCGAGCAAAAATTTTTTTCTTAGTCAGACCACGTGTCATCTTGAAAATAATATTTATTCTTTGTTTGAGTTGTATCCATTTTGTTCATGTCTCTTCTCGTGTGCAACTGATAAACGAAGAAGTGATACTCTAGGAAATTACACGTGGTCTGAAATCGGAAAATATTCGTCCAGTACGTTGGACCTATAGCTTGCGAAGCGGATTGGGTACGAAGGGGTGAAGAAGGGATGAACTATATAAGGGACTGGGGAGTCTAACTCTCTTAGGCTATAAGCTACACGGTTCAGTAATTTATAAAGACAGTTCCAAAAAAGAGCTTATCTTTAAGAATCTCGAGGTTTTAAACCTGAGTTAAAAAACATACGCACAATCGTCATACCTTGTATGTTTACACCATAGATTTCTACTCTAAGGGCGTTTGCCTTGTTTTTCTCGACAGGATAGAACCGTATCATCTTGGCCTTAAGAGGTGAAGTGAAGGTATGCTTGATGATGCTAATACTATCTCTATTACCTGTAAATATCTTGATAAAAGAAAGAACAAATTGAGGAAAAGATATGCAACGTTTTTAACTAAAGGTTAAGTGTTACACACTACGATTTCTCGTGCAACTTGCCTCGGAAAAAAATTGCTAAAAGCTGCAGACATGATTGCAACAATTAAAGAATAAAAGTCTGGATCGAGGTAATGGCAGAGAAAACATATCAGAAAAGAGCGGCCCTTGATATTTTTATTATTTTGTATTTGGAAGAAGTACCGAAACAATTTCATTCTCCTTTTCCGATTGGTTACAACGTTTGTTGGTGCGCTATTGACAAATTGCACGTTCTGATGCCACAATAATTTTTTAAAGAAAAATTTAATAGAAAGTAAAAGATAGTTCTTCTCTTCTGCAACATAAGTTTGAAAAATATAAAGCGAGCGTATGACACACATGTATCGTATCGTATAACCTGCAGCATTTGTTTCTCGAGAGAAGTTATATTAGACGAGAGAATGTAAAGTGCAACAGGGCGTTTGGTATGATGGGGTCATTTAACTACCACTAAACTAATGCTTCGCGAATTTTCTTTCTTATTTAAATTTGTAATCCTACTTGAGTATTGTAAGACAATTGGTGCTGATTAACTGAAAAAAAGAAAGTGTGCAAGGGATTCTGGTTGTAGAGGTCAATGACGCCAGCATGTAAATTCGAAGGAAGGCTGTCTGTTAATTTGACTTTCCTACACTAAAAAGAATTATCATTTGAAATGCAGTAGAAGAAGAGCAACTCTGTGTAACCACTTTTATCAATTCTTCTACTTTTTATAGTTATATTTTACATACCATTATAGCTTTCGAAGTTTTGTTTTTCAAAAACTGCCATGTACCATTTAAGCTCCAGCTTATTTTGTATTTTCTTGTCCTCTCGTCACCGTTCGGGTCACCTTGTGTAGCTACAGCACACAGGTAATAAATCTTGCCAAGGTCTACTTGTAACCATGGGTTGGCATCTCTGTCACTTGGTCTCCAGGAGCTGTTACCAAGAAGTCTGGCTTTGTGTGCAGACCTTGTTGTGCTATGAATAGAACTTGCTGTTAACTTGTTGTCAGGTATGGTTTGATTGTTCGAGATACCAACACCCTGTCTTGTGCAGACCGGAGCTGTAGAGTTAAAATTCATGTTATTAAATCTGTTGTGATGACATACCGACCGGTGGACAGATACGATTGGAAATAATAAGCAATTATCAGGCGAGGTTACAATCTCGTACCCATAGCTTGCGTTTCTTCTGGCCTGCGGCAAAGAACGAGGGCTCTGTCATAATCCATTTTTGGCGCATGCGCAGTTTTCCGGAAGTGAAACATAATCAATGAAAATCATGCTTGCAAAGAGAGTTCTGTGTTTACTTCCGATCAAAATAAGAATTAGAAATCTGGAAAAAAAAAAAAAATTTTTGGCAAGTCTTTTAACGTATGCATTCTTATACCGGAAGTCCAAGAAATCATGGTCTCAACTGAATGGATTATGCCAGAGCCCTCGTTCTTCGCCGCAGGCTCTGGGAACGAGATTGGCGAGGTTAAGCAAAATATCGCGATTCGTTAGTGGTGAGCGAGCAATTATTTGCCGATGCCAATGATAGTCATTAAAATTATGTTTTCCGTTTTCTTTTTGTTTGTTTTTTGGTTGTTTTTGCTACCATACCACATAACAAGTCACACAAAAGCGAGCCATGTTGACAAATGCAACGTTACCGCGCATGCGCAGTCTATTATTTGCAGCAAAACTGCTTTGCACCGTAATGCGCATGAGCAGATTATTATTCGTACCTAGTTATTTGCAGTTATTTCAGCCAATCAAAACGAAGGGAAAAAATAATTCGAATGAAAATTTAATATGATAACTTGCCTTTTGAATAAACCTCAACTTTACATAAACCTTTGTGAACGCCTCTACCCTGGATTGTTAAATAGCGTCCAATCATGATGTGGCTTAAAACAATGTAATGACGGTACCCATCTTTACTTTTAGGATGGCCATAAATGATACTTGGATTGAAAGTACCTCCTTTATTGTAATTATTTCCTACAAAAAATACAAAAGTAAAAGTCAATTAAATATGTTCATTCCATGCATGTGACATGGGCAAAAATTCTATACAGTATGGCGGATGAGCATGCGCACTTCGCTCGTTTCTGGTCGAAATAAAATGGCCGCTTCATAAGAGAATGATTGGTAGAAGATAGTAAATTCGAAATTATAAGCTTCTCTAGTGATAATATATGGCTCACCACTACACATCTAGAAACTGTCATATCCTATCTAACTTTAAGTAGATCGTAAACATTCTTTACTATAATGCACCATTTCACGGCCCGAAGCTCGTAAAATCTTTGAAAATTGCTCCCCATAACTGCCATTTAAATCACAGAAATCCTGAGTAGCACAAAATCGTTTGTTCGTTGCTACGTAGGATCAATCGTTGGACAACCTCTATACATCGCCACTCAAAGTTCGATAACCAAACATCATTTCTAAGTAGTTTTTCTTCCATAATACCAAGAATCCATGCGGCCAAATCCTTTCAAAAACTACATAAATAGTAGGAAGACTCCATCTTTTTGAATTTTTCCGAAACAAAGACAAAATCCATACAAAAACTGCTCATATTCGAGTGTTAGTTTCATTGCATCTGCCTTCTTGTAACGGCAGCCATTTTGACCGTGAGAGACTGGTTATTAAGCATATTCTGTTAAATTCCACTCACTGGGCTTTCTGTGTCTGTTGATTTTTAACGTTTGGGCTTCCTGTGGTATATAATTTATATGGCTTATGACCCAAAAAAACAGCTGTACTCAATTCATTCAAGCATTTATAAAATGTATTCGACACGTCTCTTCTTTCCCTCTTGCATGAGGTATAAGGTTCTTTCCCTCTCGCATAAGGCGACAGCGAGAATTTTTGCGCCCGCGAACTAAATCGCTGGACTGTATCGATTTTTTGCCCATGTAAATTATTTATTTTACAAAAAAAAAGATAAAATAATTATCCAAATATATTGAAACTTATTTAGAAAATGTAGATCTTGCGTATATCTCCAAAATCCAAACTACTGCGTTTAATAAATCAAATTGTGATCTTTTATGTGTAATCAGCGCCATATATAACTGAGACAAGATACCTAATGGAGCTTCTAACCCATCAGAGGACTTATCATGACCCCTGTGGAGAGGGACTCCCTAGGCTATCTCGACAGCAGGGGTTGGGGGTAAGGAAGGGGATGTGGAGGCTCCCTTTTCCCACTTTTTACCTTTTGCATATTTAGACTGAAGTTGATGAACTTTACAATAGTGCTAAACTCCAATACAAAAAATCTGTCCGCCTGTCCATCTTAATGTCTTTTGCAAAATATTCTCTTATATTTATCAGTATTAGCAGGGTGCATTGGCAGGCCGTATAACCAGAGGCATTATAGCCGAAATGTCATCAATGGTATATATTAGTTCATTTGTGATAATTAAAACAATACTTACCGATTTGAATCTGAAAGACTTCCTTGATGTTAGGGATTTTGAACAAGGTATGTATGTAGATTTTGTACACTGGTATAATATGGTCCAGATCAATCATCAACCAGGTCTTATTATCTTTACGAGCCGCATTCGCACATCCCGTTTCGTTAGTTTTGTTATCAACAACATTAATTTTAAGACCAGAATTTTCTATGACAGAAAGATACACACGATTATTGTATCACTGTATTAAATTCTATTGGGCTCATGTCAACGTGGAACTTCACATGAGCCGAAGCTCATTACAATAAAAAGACCGTCTTGTCATTCATTGTTTCAATTAGGTTCGGCTCATGTGACGTACGACGTTTGCACCTGTTCCTTTCTGGTTAATTGGGGTGAAGATCAGACCTTTTGCGAAATCAAGACGGCAACGTTGTCACAAGGTTTATAGCTGTTTGTGTAAGATATATTATGCTTTAAATATTATAGGACCGCGATTCATTCAACCGTAAGCTGCTTTTCCATATGACATGATATACAACAGATTTTAAAATATGACCATTATATTACCATGACCATATATCTCCACCTCACACAAGGAAAGCTGATGATACGGTTCTAGTTGTCTTATACTGACATATCTTCCTTTCATTGGTGGGCTACAGACGATGGTTATACTGCCTGCTGGTATTATACCATACTGACCACCACATGTGGGATTAGACGTTGGAGAAGCGCTAGAGTCACCTAAGAAAAGACCAATTGTTTTAATTATTTATTAATATTTTACATCAGAGTGAATGGTTAATAATTTCGTGGACATATCACCAGTGCTTCCTCCTTCGTTATGAGGGAACCCAACAAGCCAGCAAGCTAGTAGGCCAGCAAGCCAGCAAGCCAGCAAGCCAGCAAGCCAGCAAGCCAGCA